TAGCTATTTTCAAGAGAATAATCTGCTTAGAAAACTTTGAAAACTGCTTAAAAAATTTAAATTTTGGTCGAAAACCCGATATTTTGGCATTTTAGTGCACTTTGTGAGGTTTTTGTGTTTATTAACATTAAAAAATGGTTTAGGAATAATTATATCACAAAATTGGACCCTCAGGAAAAATTTGGATCACCCGGGAATACTAAGCGACCTCAAGTTCTATATAAATGTTATGCACTTTGGCGTATCGTAAATGCGGTTGTTTGCGGTTTATTCATTCACATAGCTGTTGTAAAGTATTATTTGCCTGAAAAAAGCGCTTTGCACGATCGTTAGCTCGCCACGAAAAGTCGCGCCCATCAAGCCGATCAACTCTACGTTAATTTCCATGTGCTTTTGTGGTATCTGGTATCATTGTACCGTCCTTTAGACGAAAACATGACCACGGTGTCGTCGGTGGCTGGTACGTTGCACGAGAACTAACCCCAATAGAAAAACGGTTCTTGCGCATTATCGGGGGGCTATACAAGGCTGGAAATGCCTAGTAAGTAAATGGGAACTACTTTATTGATGTCTTTAGTGGAATAAAACTATAGTTCACTAGAGAAACTATCTAAGAACGTTTAACAGGATTTTAAAAAGTCAAAATTTTGGTCAAAAATCGGCCATTTTGGTCGAAAAATCAGTGTATTTTTGGATTTTTTCATAAAAGTTTGTAATTTTTTACGTCTAGGAATAGTAAAAAAAAACTGTTTAGAAACGCTTCCTCTATTTCTTTTTCAAAAATTAGATCCTTAGAAAAAGTTGCCCCCCCCCCCGATAATGCGAAAGAACCGAGCAAAACTTTGTTTCTGGGTCTATCCGTTTCATCCATCCGTTTCATCTTCCCCCCATCATCCCCCGTCCAAGATAACCATTTTATGTTCAGAAACAGAATTTAATTTCCGTTTCAGATCAAACCAACCTGATCCAAGCGCGGTGTGTGCTCAAGGAAAATATGTGCGGTCCGGGGTAAGCGTTAAAAACGGCCCGAAAAGGATGTTGTTTTAGATTCTACTTGGCCCTTCAAAACAAGTGCACACTTTGCGATGAAGCGTGCAAGACATGCCACGGCGCCGGCCCGCTCTTCTGCGACACCTGCGCCGAGGGGTACGGCAATCAGAGCGTCGGCTACTGTCGTCCGTGCTGTCTGACTGGTCAGCGCCCGGATACCCATCATTGTGGTTGGTTTATCGAATTTTAAGCATAAATGCCGGCGGAAAGCTATTTAGCGTTCCTAAAAGCCTAAAATTATCGAAACTATGGAGATTTTGACAATTTTGATAAATTTTAGCGTTTTTACAGTGTGAGGTTTACAGTGAGTTTTTTTAACAGTCTTCTTTTAGCAGGTTTTGATTACTAAAAGTCATCCAGAATATTTTTGACTATTTTCATATGTATTAAAATGTAAAAATGGAACATTTTAATAACTTTTATGAACTTTCTAGACTTAAAAACTGCGTAAAAAGCTATAAAAGTATTTGTATTTTATTAGGGGCTTTAGTCAACCCCCCGATAACAGTCCAGAACAACTAATTCTCCCTTTTTAGAAGATTGCACGCTGAAAGGCCCGATTCGCCGTGCTGGATCATCGGGATCGCTTTTCTGGTGGGCTTTCATCCCTTTTTAAACATACCTTTTTTTCAGGTCCTTCATCTGGGTGATAATAATCGTGGTCATCATCGTTCTCGTCGGCACCGCCTTCCTCTGGTGTTTCCGCGAGGAGACGACCAGCTCAATCGAGTACGACTTTCTTTCTTTTCAAAAAAATCGATTATTTTCTATTATCGGGGCAAAATTTTTTCCTAGGAACGAATTTTTAAAATTTAAATTTCGGTACTGTTTCTAAGCTCTTTTTACTAGTCCTAAGCGTAAAAACTTTAAACAATTTTATTCAAAAGAGACAAATTATGGATTTTTCGGCCAGAGATGTCCGTTTTGACCAAAATTTCGACTTTTTGAACAATTTTTGAGTTTTTAGATGGTTTTTTCTAGTTGAAATCCAGCCTTATTTTACTAAACATTATTAAAATACTTTCTACTAAGTTATTCGGCATTTCTAGACGTAAAAAATTTTGTTTCCGCCCCCCCCCCCCGTTAATGCGAAAGAACCTAAAATAATTTTTTAGATACACCAAACTGCCGCACTACCGCGCGGGCAGCGACCGCGTCCGGATGCTCGGCTCGTCGGATTCCGATTCCGACGACGCGGAAGAGGTGTTCAGCTCAAAGCTCCGGGCAGAGATTTGAATTTTTAGATTTTTAAGCAGACAAATTTTATTGTTATTCGCTTCATCTGTGATAGATTCCCTTCTACTTGCCGGCTTTCCAGGAAATACGTCTAGAGAATTATGCCCCCCTCCCCCCATTTTTTTGTTCCGGCTCATGCCAAAAGTTACCGCATAATCATTGCTCGTTTTTATCCCAATATCCCCTCCGATCGGTTGTAGTTTGCCACTGACACACATCTGCTCTTATTTTAGCGCCTCCTCCCCCCACATCGAAGCGGGAATCCGGTAGTTCACGGGCCAAATGACCAGTGCCTTATCTCGTGGTTGATATACGGCCCCTGGGTTCTTGTCGCCAGCGCGTTTGTCCAGCGCGTTTCTCTCTCTCTCTCTCTCTCTCTCTCTCTCTCTCTCTCTAACCGCTTTTTTAGCCTTCACGGTATGCCTTAAACCCAAATTATTAATGTGCCTTGTACCCAAAAAACGCTGTGACCCTAGCTAAAACCTGGTACTGGACTGTTAGCAGGGGGGAACGGCTGGAAACCTTGGTTTTTCCGTCGCTACCGACTTGTTCATCATAAATTGATGGCTAGAAACTTACAGAAAATATTTTAGACATTCGACAATCGTAAAATTTTGGGTTTTTGATCATTTTCATAAATTTTGGAGAAAAAGTAATAATTCGAAAATTTTTATAGGGTTTTTATGAGCTTTTTATATCAAAAAACTGTGTAAAATGCTATAGAAATCGTTTATATTTTGGTATAGGACCGGACAGGATTACTGGGAAAAATTAGTCCCCCTGCTAACAACCCAGTACCCCTAAAACCTCTTTCTGGTCATTTCACCGGGGTATTTGTTGTGTTTTTTCTATATTGTTCCGACGTCCGAGACGTGTTTTTTCTTCTTTATTCTCTTTCTTGGTTTACCTGGTGCCCCAGATGATAAATGGTTGTGGCTATTGTTACATTCAGATATCGGAAGTTGTTGGCATTTTATTGAGATAAAACTGGAGGCGTATAAGGTCGTTTTTTAGTTGATGCCCACGCTGGATAGCGGCCTGACAAAGACCATCGTTGCTTTTGATTGGACAGTGAAGGTGAATAGTTTCTAAAGCTTTTCTTTGCCATAAATTTAATTTTGTTGAATAGGAATTGATAAAACTAGGGGTACTGGAGTTAGCGGGGAGGGGCCCAGTTTTTATTTTTCCGTTTATAATAAATCGTGTATTTTGATCATGTTTTTCGTAGTTTCAAAGTTCATTTCTTCTAGAAAGTTACAAAAGCCATTTTAAACGCTGAACAATTTTTCATACATTTTTGAGCAAAAAGTCAACAATTTCCAAGGTTTTTATAAGTTTTTTTTACGAGCTTTTTATATCTAAAACTGGGTAAAATATTATAAAAATGGTTGCCGCGCGACCTCAAAAAAGCCCTCAAATTAGTTTTTTAAAATTTTTTTTATTTTTTTTTTAAATCTCTAAAAAAGATGGTGGTTGTTTTTTGGGGTTTTTATTTTTTTATTTTAATTTTGGGTTTGTTTTTTGTGTTAATTTTTTTTAAATGTGTGGTGGGGAAATAATTTTGTGTATATGTGTGTTGATTTTTTTTTGGGGTAATTTTTTTTATTATTTAAAATAATAATATAAATTTTTTTATTATATAATTTTTATATAATTTTAAAATTATAAAAATAATTTTTTTTTTTTTTTTTAGTTTTATTGTATAATTAAACTATAATTTTTTTTCCATTTATTAAATTTAATATTGAGTAATTTTTTTTATTTTTTTAAATATATATTTTAATGGTTTAAAAAAATATTAATAATTAAATTTCTTTTTATATTTTTATAAAAAAAATAAATCTGGTATCGATTTAAAAAAATATAAATTTTTATATTTTTAAATTATAAAAATGGGTTGTTATTTAGAAGCCGGGTTGGTTTTATTAAGGAAAATTTTTTTTTTTTTTTTTTGGGGTTGGGGTGTGTTTTGGGTGTTTTTTTTTTTTTTTTTTTTTAATATTATTTTTTTTTTTTTTTTTTATTTTTTTAGTTTTTGTTTTTTATTTGGTTTTTTTTATTTTTTTTTATATTTATTTTTTTTTTATTTTTTTATTTTTTTTTATATTTTTTTTTTTTTTTTTTTTTTTTTTTTATTATTTTAAATTGTTTTTTTTTTTTTTTTAGGTGTTTTTTTTATTATATTATTTTTTTTTTATTTTTTTTTTTTTTTTTTGTAAATTATTTTTTTTTTATTTTTGTTGTAAATAAATATTATATATTTTTGAGAAAATTTTTTTTTTTTTTTTTATATTTTTTTTTTTATTTAATTTTTTTTTATTTTTTAATTTAATAAATTTATAATTATTTATTTAAATATATTTTAAATAATTTTTTTAATAGCTTTTAACGGCCCCCCAAACAACGGTATTAAAAAATAAAACGCCCCCCCCCCCTTTAGATTTTCCTATAGAACCGTACAAGATTACTGGGAAAAATATCTCCCCCTACTAACAGTCCAGTACCAAACTAGACAATTCCAGCTCTCGGCGCCGGTTGACTGTTCCCTCGACTCCTTGCGCACCATCTTCACGCTCTTCTTGCGCTTCGACGACGCCACCGAGGAGCGCTACGAGTTTACGGCAGAAGAGGTGCGATTCTGATCATTCGAACACTCTTTTTTCCAGTTTGAAAGCTTCCGCAGCAGCCTGCCCTCCATCAAAACAGCCTAAAATATGTACGCCAAACTACCACCCGGTTACATCACAAAATCATCGGTACGTTTTAATGGTATTTTTGGTAACGTATAACCATATTTCGACTTGAAAAACTATCTAAATACTTTTAAAAATGTTTAAAAAGTCGGAATTTTTGTAAAATATCAGCCATTTTTTAGCGAAGATTCAATCTTTTTGATATTTTTTGATCAAAATGTGTAAGGTTCTCACGTTTAAGACTATCAAACAATAGTTTAGAAACGCCACCACTATTTATATTTGAAAAATCGGATCCTAAAAAACTTGCCTCCCCCGCTAATGCAAAAGAACTGTAAATTCTTTAAACTTCCGCTTTTGTGATTTAGATCTATTGCATCGGCGGTGGATTGCTCGGCTTCGGGGCTATTGAGCTTCTCTTCGGTGGCGAGGTCTTCTACGATAAGGGGGTAACTCTAAAAACCATTTTTTAGTGGATTCTTTTTAGTTAATGCCGCTGGTGCACCGGCTCAGCGACGGCGAGACCGCACATCGATGGGCCATCAAAGTAGGGCATTTTTTGTTTTTTGAAAGCCGTTTTTCTGTTGAGGCGTGCAAGCTTGGGCTTTTGCCCCGATTTGGCCCGAACCATTGGGAATATCCGGAGCTGGAGTGTGAGGTAAGGAAGCGCTGCACGAAATCTATTTATTTTTAGTTTGCCGGTCAGAAATTGAAGAACCCAATCGGGCTGGCTGCAGGTTTTGACAAGGTTGGTCCCTGTCTTTATAAGGGTGGAATAGGATAACGGTAGCAGCATTTTTCTAATAGATTAAAATACTGTGGGGTTTCGTGAGCGCCATTCGATAGTGCACCGAAAAATATCCCAACAAAATTAGTTTCAGCGCGGAAAAAATGTAATATAAAGGTTTTATGGCATAAAAACTTTGGTTGAAAATTATGGGCACGACGGGGGCCCCTTTTTCGGCATTTTGAACATTTTCGACTGTTTGAATTGATTTTTGAGAATGAATTCGATAGAGGGCTGAAAAACATACTAACAGCTTTTTCATAGCCCGAAAAAAACGATTTTTTAAAAATATTTTTATTGTAAAAAACCTTTGCTCCCTCCGTTATCCTATTTTTACCTTTATAAGTCCAGAATTGCTTTTTAGGACGGTGATGCGATCCTCCCACTAGCCAACAGCGGATTCGGCATGATCGAAATTGGTTCAATCACGCCGCTTCCTCAACCCGGAAACCCGCAGCCACGCGTTTTTCGGCTCGAGGAAGATCGGGTTTGTATTAGTTTTATCTTGGCTTAAATAATGGAATTTTAGGCTGTAATAAATCGCTACGGGTTCAACAGCGAAGGCGTTGGGAAGGTGCAAGTGCGTGTTAAGGTGCGTAAATGCTTTTGCCTCGCATAAAATGAAAACAGGCTGCACGCGCCGCCCCATGGTCCCCCGGGATGGCCGTCTTCGGCGTCAACCTCGGCAAGAATAAGATGACTTCGGATGAAAAGTAAGCTCGTTAATTTATAGTGGATTTAGTTTTTGGCACTGGACTGTAGCGGGGGGTTACTAACTTTGTTTTCCGAGCTACCTGTTAAGAAAATATAGTCTATTTTTGTCGTGTTTCTAGTAGCTTTTAAAGCCTAGAAAGTTACAAAAAATATTTTGGGACTTTTAGATCGAAAATTTGGACTTTTTTGGTAATTTTTCACACACCAAAAACTTCATAATTCGAAGTTTGAAAAAGTTTGTCTGAGCATTTCATGTCCAAGAAATTTTCATAACTTAAAATTCAAAAATTTTGTAAATTTTATAAGTTTTTTATACATAAAGCTGTATAAAATGCTATGAAAATGGCTTTTATTTGGTATGAAACTTTACAGGATCAGTTGGAAAAATTCGTGCTTCCCCCTGCTAACAGTCCAGTACCCAGTTTTTGTTTTTTTAGTTGCAAACTCGACTACGAGGTCGGCGTCAATCATTTTGCGATGAATTCCGACTACCTGGTCGTCAACGTGTCTTCGCCGAATACCCCAGGGCTTCGCTCGATGCAAGGGAGAAAACCGTTGGAACAAGTGAGTCATTAATTCCTGCGTTATTACACGGAAAATGATAGCTTCTCGCCTACGTGAAGCGCGCGGTGGATATGCACAAACTGCCGAATCCGCCGAAGATCTTCCTCAAGATAGCCCCCGACTTGGTCGACGCCGAGCTGGCAGATATCGCAAAGGTAATTTTTCCCTTTAAAAAATTATACATTTTTGACTTTAGGTTGTCATGGATCCGAAATTTGGCGTGGCTGGGCTCATCATTTCAAATACCACAATCAGCAGACCAGACTCACTGCAAAGTTCGGAGAAAGGTATGCGCAGAATCGTGTGATAGTTGTTGAAATATTCGATTTGCTATCAGAACGCCAAAAATTATAGGTTCGAAAATTATAATATCGAAATTTTAAAAGGTCTCGAATCTCAGAATGCCGAAATTTGGTAATATCTATATTTGGTAAAATTCATTATGTCGAAATCTATGTCAAAATGTCATTATGTCCAAATTTCGAAAAGTCGACATTTTTTTCAATAGTATTTGATAGTCCTGATGATTTTCCTATGCTCATTTCGGCATTCTGAAATTTCGGCAGTATGAAGTTTCGGCATTGTGAAATTTCGACATTATGAAATTTCGAAAAGAAATTTCGATACGATTTTCGACATTCTTAAATTTCGCCAATTGAAGCTTCGAAATTACGAAATTACGACATCTCGACATTGTGATTTTCGACACTAGGAATTTCGACATTAGGATATTCGAGATTTTTAAAGTAACCCAAAATATTCAGATCAAACCGGCGGTCTTTCCGGCGTGCCACTGAAGGAGTTGAGCACGAACTGCATCCGGAAAATGTATAAGTAAGGATTTGAAGGTCTTTCAATGTTGTTTTTCTAGGCTAACTGGCGGCAAGGTGCCGATCATCGGCTGTGGAGGCATCGCTTCGGGCGCAGATGCTTACGAGAAAGTGAAGGCCGGTGCCAGCGTTGTGCAGCTCTATACGTCGATGGTGTACCAAGGTTTCCCAGTGATAGGACGGGTGAGTCGAAAATCGTTTATCCTCACGTGCTTCAGGTAAAACGCGAGCTTGTTGAGTGTCTTCGCAAAGATGGGCTGACGAATATCAGCCAGGCAGTCGGAGCTGACCATCGTGCCACCAAGCCGTAAATTTAGATTTTTTTGTTTACGATTGCTCATTTTTATACTTTTGTGAATAAAATTAAATTCGATGCGAAACTAATTTTTTTTTTATCGGTACCCGTTTTGGTCATTTTTCATACATTTTTGATCAAAAAGTGAAAAATTTATGAATTTTTCGAAGTTTTTTGGAGCTTTTTATATCTTAAAACTGTGTCAAATGCTAGGAAAATGGTTCATATTTTGTTATAGGACCCTGCCGGGTTAATGGGAAGAATTAGCCCCCCCCCCTGCTAACAGTCCAGTACCCGTCTATCACACGCAAACAAGACGCGGGCATACAAAAAATAGACTTTTTCATTCGTATATCAGAATTTATCGTGAAAAAAGTAGTCGTAACTTCACTTCTACGCAACGGGAAAAATTATTGTTGATGAGTCAAAACTGTGAAGGGCCGTTGGCTGCCGCTGAAGATGTTCGTCTCCGTTCCCCACCAATCTCGAAAGTTGGGTCGCAACATTTTTTCGCTGAATTCTTCCGGTTCCCGATCAAAGCCCTGCGCCAAAACATAAAGTCTGTGGTGCTGAAAAATGTCAAATTCGTTTCGTTTCGCCGGAAATCATTTTGTGAAATTCATTTTGCCTAAATTTCGATTTCTCGAAATTTTTCGAAATTTAAGTTTCAGCGCATTGACCTTTTTGGCAAAATGAATTTGGAAAAAGAATTATGTCAAAAAGGATGTTGGCAAAACGTTGGCAAACTGAAAGCTAATCCTGAAAAGCTCATCGGGATTACCGTTACAGTATGATAGACCTACCATCTTCGGAGGTTCTGCGTAATTATCGAAAAGCATCGTCCCATCCGGCAACCCGACGGATTTAACGATTCTTTTCAGTCTTTTCGAAAACTGACGCTGAAGATCCTCCTAAAGCGGACTGGTTCAGAAAACGACGTAATAAACACCAACCTGGACCTCTTGGGAAGGTCGATAAAAATATTCAAGATCGACCACCATATAGAAGATTCGCGTTTGCTCTCCTTGGGGTGGATGCTAAACGGAGCGTTAAAGAGATGAGGACGGCATCTGTTGAACCCCCCTTGGGGAGGGGGGGTTCAACAGGTCCCACGGCGATCTCGCGCAGAGAGGGCTCCCAGGGGAGAGGCGCAGAGACATTTTCTTTCCCTCGCGTAATCGATTGACTTATGCCGCCCCTATCTCTTTAAGGCATTGGTATTTTAATGCCGCGTAAGTTCCTATTAATCTATGTATCTCTATCACTCTCTCGATCACTCTCTCTCACTCTCTCACTCTATCGCTATCTCTCGCAAAACCGTACCTTACGAATGAGAAACTTGAGGAGCGCCTTGAGGCCATCCAGAACTGGTTCTATCTCATTTCGATCATGAATATAGGGCCCCAGCCCCAATACGGGCAACCGAACCAGCTGAAAAGCAACAAGGCTGCGAAAGTAAAGGAAAAGGAAAACACAAATGCTTACGATTTCGGATTATGCCTACCTTCTTTGCCCACTGGCGCAACTCGGAGGTGGAAAAACCGCGATCGCGAAACCGGTCAAACCACTCTGCGACATTTTTTTCGTTCTAAACCCAACATATGTACACAGGCCCTAGACTGTTAGCGGGGGTTAGCAGGAGGAAAAGTAATTTTTCTTCGTCTATTCCTTCCTGTTAATAATAACTAATGCATTTTATATTTTTGTCGTGGCTTTGATTGGTAGAAAGGTACAAAAAAATATTTAGAATTTTTGAAGTCTCGAAAATTTGTACCATTTTCATACATTTTTTGACCAAAAAAGTTTTTTTTAGTTTTGATATGTAAAAATTGCATAAATCCTATAAAATGGGTTACATTTTAATATAAGAACGTTCTGAATAACCGGCGAGAATTAGTTCCACACGCTAACAAACCGGTACCGAAATCCGAACGTTATCGTTATATGCTCGAAGCCCTGGAGGCAAAACTTATTTCGTAAGAAATCGTAAGATCAACCAGGTAAAAAATAAAAGAAAGCGCTTACAAAGTCGGGCCTCTTACGAAGGCAGGACATGATGCTTGCCACACGTGTGATGCTTAACTAAAATTCCGGTAGCTATTATACAGGGTGTCCCAAAAAAGTCCCCCTCTAGCGGTCCACAGTGATGTCCGATTTTGACGATTTAGGTATCTATTGAAAACTCTCGACGAGCTGAGGAGATCTGTTCTTTCCGATTTTCGAAATTCCCGAATTTTTAACCCGATTTTTTTCGTTTTTGGGATTAAATCAGACATGGCAATCGGCCGGGCCGCGCGGCTTTTTCGGCCGCAAAAAAGGGCGGCTCGGCCGATCGGAATTGCCATGTCTGGATTAAATTACGCAATTTTGTGCAAAAACTCAATTTAATCGGTTTCAGTCCCATTCAAGCTGTGTTTTCTCAAATGCCTTTCAAAGAGCCGACCTTGGGCTGCCAGTAAAGATGTAAAAATTTCGAAAATGGTGTTTTTCTTAAAAACACTTGCATGGGGAAAAGGCATCGAAATTCAGCCAATTTCGCAAAAATGTTAGTAAATGTCATAAAAATTCGGAATTTTGAAAATCGGGCACATCACCTCAGCTCGTCGAGAGCTTTCGATAGATACCTCAATCGTCAAAATCGGTCATCACTGTGGACCGCTAGAGTGGGTCTTTTTATGGGATACCCTGTATTCGGAAAGCTGCGCATCCGTACCTGGAATGTGTTGCTGCCCAGGGCAATGAAACGGCGTTGTGCATCCGGAAGTCTTCTTATTACGACCGAAAATCTGCTTCCATCAGCGTGGCCCCACCGCTGTGCGTTAAAATTGAAATTCTGGTTATAGGCTCTCAGCTTTTCGAGGAGCCGGAACCACGTCTTCGAATTGCCGACCACCGTCAACTCCCTACAAGCGACAAATAAGTTCTTTCCCATTATCGGGGGAGGGTGAAATTTTTGTATACAATATATAGGCCTGGAAATTAATGGGAAGTTTTTTAATAGCCTATTTTTATTTTGTCGAAAGGTAATTTTGTAGGCATTTCAATGCTTTTTTTGCGCCTCAATTATTCGCCTCAAAATCGAAATTTCAGCACCTTAAATTTGGACAAAAAGTTTTTCGACAAACCGATAGCATAATAACATTAAATTATAACAAACTATGCTTAAACCGAAAAATTCCAAAAAAAAGGTCGAAATTCTGGTCAAAATCGGCCTTTTTTGTCGAAAAATCTGTATTTTTGATATTTTTGAATAAAAATTTGTGAAAGTACTGACCGGTTCTCATTGCTCATCTTATTTTCCGATCTGAGATGGATCGAGCGCTCGGGATCCCAACTGTATTCAATTATAAACTCGACCCCCGGCTCGACTTCGATGTCTGCACGCCATGTCTGTAAACCAAAACATCCTTTTGCCAATATTTCGTTACCATCCGTCGTTCCAGAGCCATCGAACACACTGGACCAGACAGGAGTCGGCTGCCGGGTGAAGCTACCCCAAAGAACGCCTTGAAAGTTGATGTTCTATTTCCAGCGGGGGAAAACTGTGCGGAGGATTTTCGGTAACCTACTTCTTTTTTTTGCTATAGCTTTTTATATTACGCCATTATCAGCTGTAATTAAAATTCTTCGTTTGTATTTTTGACGCGCTATCGAATGAGGGTCATGAAAATTACAAAAATTTCGTAAAAATATAGAAACGTCGAAAACTAGGTTTTGAATCTACGCTCCCATGTGGAAATCTCGTTTAAAGCTTGTTGTTACGACAACTATTGTTTATTACCTTTTTTTTGGTGATGAAATTCAAACACTTAGTATTTTTCGAGGCTGCATCGAATGACTCCGCAAAAGCTCGAAAAAAATCGCTAAAATACCGAACACTAGCATTCCGGTGGGTTTCAAAAGGTATTTTTGTTTTGTTCTAACTATTTATGACAATGGATCCCGCACCATTTTCCCCCACTGGAACTAGAACATATATACCTTATTAACGGCCCGAAAACGATACTTTGCATCAGGGTTCAACTTGCTATAGAGTTTCCTCAATAAAAGTGTGGGAAGATCCTTCACGGCAAATTTGTCTAGCATGTTTTCTGAAAGCAAATCAGGGATTGATTTCTTGCGCTTCTACTAAGGTTAAACCTTTCAAAATCATACCTTTAAAAGGAATTTATTGGTCAGGAAGAACCTGGAAAATTATGATCATCGCTTGTGGGTAAATAGCAGGCGACTTGGGAACCCATCTGTAGAAGTACCCCCAGGTGTTGTTTTCTGGGTCAAATCGCGGAACTATACTAAGCGGAAATTTAGATCAATATCGATTTAAAAAGCCCGCATTAGAATTTCGCTCTGGGCTCATTCGAACCGCCTTGAAACACTGATTCTGGTGTGCGAACTGGCATGGTATACGGGCATACTAAGAAACTGATAGTAATCCGCTTTACTTCGGTATTCGTAATCCGGTGTGCTTGTATTCAGCCGTATTTACTAGCGGATCGATTTTCGGATTTTATGACCTAATCTTTATCTCACGCTAATAGGACACTGACACACAAAACACACATAAATCGATCAAGTGCGGTATAACAAGGCATTGAGGCCAAATTCAGAGGATGAGACAAAAAATCAACGATTCCAAGCAACAAGGCATACTCTCTGATTGAAGCCGGGGAGTGAGTTCATAAGCCGTTTCTAGACTCAAACATACAAAAATAGGTACATACAGATTAGCACAGATTTGCAATGATTAGCTGCTTTACTACCAGAACGGGCACCATCCCACGTAACATTGGCACAGATTTTCGGCGTTTGTGGCCTCTTCGACGAGCTTGTTGAACTGCTCGACGACGTTGTACTCGCGCTCCGGTTCGAAGTCGTGCCCTAGGCAAGCCATTGTAATGTTTAGGCACCCTTACCGATGAGTTTGCTCTTGATCCGCTCGACAATTTTTCGAGCCGACTCTTGACTGAGCCCTTCGTCCTTGACCATCTTGGAAATGTCCTGCTTCTCGGCGGGGTTCCGTCGTTGCCGGTTCACTAAATGGAAAATAGTTATAGTTAAGTTTAAAAAGGTGATCTTTTCGATATCTTTAATAAAAATCGTAAGCTTTGACGTTTAAAAAAGTAAAAAAAAACCGTTTAGAAGCACTTCCACTATTTATATTTGAAAAATTAGATCATAAGAAAGAAGTTGCCCCCGATAACGCGAAAGATCCTGATTTTTTTATTATCAGCCACACACCTTCCAACAACCGCCAACTGATGTTTGGGTCATTGACGAATGCCTCGAGGACGGCGAGCAGAGAATCCTTGTTCGCACGCAAAAGACCGAGCACTCGCTCCGAAGTATGACGATAGTTGCCATTGATGCCGCAGACCTCCATCGCCTGCAATGACCATAAAAATACAATTTCTATAGCCGACCTTGATGAGCATGCGTGTCAACCGGAAGGGGATCTTTTCCGGGTACTTCTCCCGGGACATGGCCACCTCGAAGCAATCGCCAAAGTCGATGTGCACAATCTTGCCCGTCAGCCGGTCGAGCATCAGATTTGAGGGGTGGCTAAAATGATTGTAGTCGAGACAAAAATAAGCCTACCGATCGCCAAGCCCCAGAATGTACCCAACCATGCTCATCACGGCCATCGAGCGGGTGTAATTCGTGCGTCGGTCGAACCAAACTTCGGAGCTAAAAAATGGAGCTAAAATGGTTCCTTGGCATTAACGGGGGGGGGGACTTTCTTATGGTCTGATTTTTCAAGTATAAATACTGAAAGTGTTTCTACAAGGTTTTTTCTATTCCTCCACGTGAATGACAATGACAAAAATGACGATTTCTCCACCACAAATGGCTATTCGTTACCAAATGTCGACTTTTTAAACTTTTTTTTAGAACTGATGAACTATTGTTTTTCCACTAAAAACGCTATTAAAAACCTGCATATCAAGTTATCATACATTTCTAGAGTCATACAAAAGCCCCCCGATAATGCGAAATATCCAAAAATATTCTCAATCCATATTGGAACACAAACCTGGGACTCTTGAGCCACAAAATCTTCTGCAAATCATCGCCGCTCGTCTTTGCGAGGGCCAGGTTGAAAAGTTGCACCTAAAAAGCTGAATATTTAAAAGATTTCTGCCCACCTTCTGATCGAGCGGCAACGTCTCCAGATCTTGCGCGTTGGCTTGCATTTCTTTGTGCTCGGCGGATAGCGAGATCTAAATTTGAGGTATACACATTTATAAAAGTTAGGCCAATCTGACCTTCTTCTTTTCGCGGTACTCCTTGACGAGAGTGTGCAGCGTGTCACAGTTTGGCACCCAGCCGATCAGGCCCGAGTTTTGCGAGAGGGCAATGATGGAATAGCGCTAAAATTGTTTGGTTAAAACTATAAAAATCTTCAACACCTGAATGGCAAGATTCGTGCGTCCGGTTTCTTCATTTTTCGCTAGCATGGCGTTAACCAGCCCGAATAGCTGCATGACACGCTCGTCCTGGCGCGGGTCTTCGTGCCCCTTTAGCAGGAACATGTAATCCCGTCCATTGCTGCCTAAATATAAATATTAACGTGATTTTTCGCGTAAACTACCTCTCATCTGCATTTTCCTCGGCTTTTGCTTGCTGCTGATGACGGTCAGCAGGGTGTCGACGTAGCTGATGCGGACAATGTCCTCGTCCGTTTGCGCTGGGTCGTAGGTGCCGGGGACTGAAAGTGAGGTGTAATCACCGCGTCCAGATTCTTACCCGAAATGGAGAGATCTTTGGCATTCTTCAACTTTGGCGACACGTACGTCAGGTCCAAAGAGGTCAGTTGTCGAAGTTGACCCTAACAAGTAGCGTATTTTGAGGCCGCCATAAAACGCACTTGAATCCGCTTGAACACGTTGATGTAGATTTCCCAGGCCTGCGCCAGCTCTTTTCGGTCTTGGCCAATGCGGTAGGCGTTGCAGAACTTGAGCGCGTCCGTCAGATCGGCGAAGTAGGTTTGAACAAACGAGTGTTCCTAAACAAAGGCATGGTAATTTTAATGGATTTCCACGATTTTACCTTGATCGTCATCGGGGCCGTCTTCAGCCTTTGGTGCATCGGGTCGAGGGTTGCCAGGAAACCGGGGATGTCGTTTTCCTGGAAATACAGCCGGCTCGCCTCATCCAGGGCTTCGTTCCACTGTTCGTGCCAAAGGATAGCGCATCGAACGAGCTCCTCGGTGACGAGCTTCGCCTCTTCGGCCAGCTTGTTGTGCTTCGGGGACATGTCACCTAAAATTATAGCTACACCAAGCACCAAAAGACGCACTGAATAGCGTGAACAGCTCCAGCCCATTTTCCGAACCACTTGATTTTGCAGCGACCGTGATTGGGTAGACGAGGGCCTGTGAAAATCAAATAAAACGAAGCTTGATGTCCGGATACCTGAGGATACACCTTGCTGACGTCGAGGATGACCTGCTTGACGATGCCAGCATTCCGCGCCTCCCTCGTGTCCTGCGAGTTCTTCGCCTCCAGTCGAGCGATCAATTGAGGGACAGCCTCAAGCCACATCTCTGGGGGCAACTTCTTCAGCCCGTTGCGCAACTCGGTGGGCAACGTCTCGGTGATGTCGAAGAGCAGTGCCATAAGTCGAAGCGTGTCTTCGAGCCGTGATCCCTTGGCGAGCTTCAGGGCCTCGATGAAGGAGGAGATCGAGTGCAGGGCGAGCTGCTTGATGTTGTTGCGCAGCTCGGCGACAACCTTCGCAGCAGGAGTCGCGCCAGTCTGAAAAAGGCGGTTCGGAAGAGGTAGGAAAGGCTTGCCTGGAACGTGATGGGCGGTGGTTGGGTCGAAGGGCCTGGTTGGCCAGAATTGTACGGCAAATTGGGAGACAGGGCGCCAGGAACATTCGCTAAAAAGAGGAGTTTATATTCGAAAGCTTGACGCCTACGTTGATCTTCAGGAATACTTCCCGCTGGTGCGCTCAAGGAGCCGTGAAGATGGGCCTAAAATCGAAGCAAAATAATTTTAATGCCCTTTCGTATCGTCGAGAAACAAATTTTTTATAGAAGTCTAGGAATGCCCAATAACTTAATAGGAAGCAGCTTAATAATGTTTTTAGAAAACTAAAACTATATTACAACCAAAAAACCCTTTCAAAAATTTTCAAAAAGTGAAATTTTGGTAAAAAATGGCCATGTCTGGATCAAAAAAATCGATATTATTTCTATTTTTTTAATTCTAAAAATATCACCACGCGGAAGGTAGTTTAAAGATATATTTCCGAGTACCTGGCCACCAGCCGAATTCGTGACGGCTAGAAGACGCTCCCGTTCCCTCTGTAGCGTCGCGTAGTAGGTGATGGCGAGACGGTGCCATGCCTGGATCAAATTAGAACGTTTCCCAAAACTCGTCTACCTTGTGCCAGCTGGGGTCATGCTGTACGGCGGCTTTTCGGTAGAGCTGAATGACGGTTTGGGAGAGGTGGCGCTCGTTCTTCATCCTCGACATCGGTTCGGCCTGGGCCAACAGCTGGGCCAATGCTCCTTCAGAAGAGCCGACCTAGACGGCAAAAAGTAAGAGAGATTGAAAAAATGATACCGATTGCTTGGGATAAGAGTTGTTCTCAATATTTCGTAGTCCTTCCGCGTACGTCCATTCGCCAAGTTTCACGAATACCTGAAAAGCGGTTACTTTTAAAATGTCGAAAATCGTAATCGAGGCGAAAAAGGCTTTAAAATTTGGATAATATACGCTTTTCGCCAAAACACGAAATGAAAATAACCCGTTTTCGAAAAAATGACAATTTCGACATAATGTCATTTCGAAATTAGCTCGCAATCGGCCGACGAGATTTTGACCAACCTTTGCCAATGTTCTCCGCTTTTGCGTGGGCATTTCCGTAGTGGCCGTCCTTTCCAAGTGTCGAGACTAAAAGCAGTTTCAGATAAAAAAATAAAAAAAAATGTTTTTACCAATGCATCCAGTGTGGCCACCGCCGACCCGTGCAGCCCATCAGCCCACAGCTGCTTACAGAGGGCCATCACCAAGTTTGGTTTATCCTGGGGCACAGAGGCGGTGTGAAGCTCGGCTCGGGGCGGGATACCTGCAGAACGATATTTTTAATAACGTTTTTATTTCCATTTAAAGTTTATTTTTAACAGCAATTTTAAAACACGAATATATCAAATTCCCCTACCTAATAGACTGCGCAAGACATCCTTGGCCATGTCATGACGCCCCTGACGGTGGCACAGCGACGCAAACTTCACCTTGAGGGGAAGAATGTGATTTGTCGGCATGACCATCTCCCTGAAAACAAGTACAGGTAAGCAAGTTATACCCGGGTAATTTAGTAAATAAGGAATTGCGTAATTAAGTCAGTAAAAATTACCGTAAGAACAAGGCGCGCTGCCACTGCTCGACGTCTTCCTGGCAATCGAGCAGCCGGCGAGACCAGAGCAGCGAGATACGAAGTCGCCGATCTTTGCGGACTAAAAACGGTTCCAATACCAAAGAAATACGAATTTACCTCGATACTCGATAGCCTCCTCCAGCTCGGCAAGTTGCTGGATGAGCACCATCGCTCCGTACGCCCTCTCGTAGCTCTCGCCGGCCAACGCCGTCAACTCCGTGTCGTACATGTCTCGAACCTGGTAACACAAAACTAGAATCTCGTAGAATCTCGAACCTTATCAATCAAAAACGTCGCCTTGCGGAATTCTTGATTTCGCACGGCCAGCACGGCCTCAAATACGAGCCATCTTGCGTGTTCGGGGACACCATCTCGACGAATTGGGCCATTTTATCGAGTTGACCTGTAGATGGGCAAAATAGTTGGAAAAAATAGCTATTTTTACCTTCCGCCCACGCTCCTCTTGCTGCCATGACGGCAATCTTCGGGTTCGCCGTCGCCTTCTCAAACGACGCCATCTCGTTCAGGTCCTTCCATCGGCCGAGGGCCTCCAGACATCGCATCTCGTACTGGGCGACCAGGTCTTGGTTTGGCTCTTTCTAAAAAAGTAAATTAAGTCGGTTCTGCCGCATTATCAGGGGGGGACCAAAAATTTTTTGTATAAATCTAGAAATGCCTTGTAACTTAAAGAGAAATATTTTAGTAATGTTTTTAGTGATAGAAAACTATATTTCAACCAGAAAAAAAATTGAAGTTTCAAAATTTTTTCGAAAACGCCGACTTTTTTTTTATTGAAATTAATGCTTTAAAAACACTGCCGCTATTTATACTAACAAAACGGAACTAATTTTAGTTGCGCATAATTTTTATACCTGATAAAACTCGAGGGCCTTTTCCCAGTCCTGCAGCTTCTCGTACCATTTCCCCTGGAGGACCGCTTGGATTCCATGCTTTTCAGCGTATTTGACGACGCCAGCCGCCTCATCGTGCACGTTCAATTTGTTCGCATACCTGAAAAGGGCAAAAACTGCATAAAAATCGGGTTTTTACGTGATGAGGGCCTGGCAATCTTCAGGGGTCACCGGGTATCGTTTCGCAATTTTCCGCTCGATCTCGATTTCCTGAAGTAGGAAATTTTTTGGTCAAATTTTTTAAAATCACCTTGTATCTGAGGGCCTTTGCATAAGCACGGGTGCCTTCGGCGGCACTTCCAAGCACGTGATACGGGATCGGCAATGGGCCTTTCTCAGAGTGGTCCATGAATTCGGCGAGGTTGAGGATCGTCTGCACAATGTCCGGCTGTCCACTGTTCCGCAGGGCATTTTCGAGGTTTTTCGTCAACTAAAATCGAATTAAGGAATTACTGTAATTTTTCCTAAACTCATTTTTCTTGATTTATTTCGTTATACTGATTTTATTACGCTTTGATACGCAAAATGGCAGCATCTGTCCTTTTTGCTCTCTTGACGCACCGCCATTTACATGACAATTCCGGGAAAACCGATTTTTAGGCAAAATAAATTTAGAAAAAAATGATTTTAGGAAAAATGAACATGAGCCGCCAAAAATCACCTCATCCTGGTGCGGTTGGCTCAGCTCGGTCCAGACGGACATGAAAGCCGCGTTGAACAGATCCTTGGCCAAATGGGGGTAGAGATCGGTGAGTGGAGCGGCACCTCTCAGCGCAGCGCTGCTACTGAAACGAATTTTCGTCTAGAAAAGGCTTGTAAAAGCGCACCTGAGCCTGAGGCAAGCCGAGCGCAGCTTCGTCAACCATTGCGACCAGTCCTCGCGATTCACCAGGGTTTCCGTCTGAATCGATGGCTTTATACAACAAAAACAATTACGAACCATCCAGTTGGGGCGGACGAGCTCGGCGCTGAACTTTTGCTTCTTGACCTGGACGGGTTGGCGGCGCGTCATCTTCGACCGGCCCTTCGAGTGGTCAAACTGTGATGGTGGTAGGGATTCGGGGCACACGCCGTGCCAGCCATCTGTAAGAAAAATGGGTTCTTTCGCATTATCGGGGGGGGAGGGGAGGATTTTTGAAAATTAGAATAGAATTTTTTAAATTAAAATAGCGGACCTGTTTTGTTGCATTATACCTATAAATTTTGATTAAAAAAAATCCAAAAATATCGATTTTCGACAGAAAATTGGCTGTTTTTTGACAGTTTCGACTTTTTGAAAGTGTTTTGATAGTACTAGGTATTTTTAGACGTATAAAAAAATTTGAACCCCCCCGTTAATACGAAAGCACCGAAAAATGTAATAAATCGGCCAAGCGTTCCCTTACATGCTTCAGCTCGTGGTCCATCATCGTGAACGTCAACCGGTCATACTCGGGGCATTGCAGGTTGTGCTTCAACAGGGCCATGTCGACGCTCGTCCGGTAGACGTCAAAGTGGCGCCACATCTGAATAGCATTATTTTAAGGAACTAGGACTTTAAACAACCTGTCCGGCGACAACAACAAGTAGCTTTAGCAGCGGCTTTTGCAGGGGAGACGACATCGACACCACGTAGCCAGGCTTGCATCAGGCGGGGCGCAAATTCGGAGACGTCCTCGCTTTCGGCTAAAAACGGGTTTAAACGATTTGCTATGATAATGTCGAAATTCCATGACCCCGAAATTTCAGAATGCCGAATTTCAACGTCGAAATTTTCACAATATTTGGGCAATTTTCCTGGAGATTGGTACATGTAAATTTCGATATTCCCAATTTTCGACACTATCAAATTTAGACATTATGAAATTTCGCAACCAATTTCGATTTTGAAAGTAAACCACTTTAGGCAAACCCTCGATTCGAGGCAGATATTATATTTTGAGTTAAATAAAAAAGTGAATAGTTTAATTTTAATTTTTAGTTTCGAAAATATCCACCTAATTGCAGAATAGTGTTCAGCGCCAATTCCCGGACGTTCATCAGGCTGTTCGAGTCGTCGACAATCGCAAGGATCGGCGGCAGAACGAGGTGGAGGTGCGGCGTCAAACATCCGGAGAGCGCACCCACGCACGCCAGTACCTAAAGAAACCGTTTCGCTCAAGACAAGCCGCATTCCAATACCTTGGTAGTCAGCCGCCGTCCGGCCGTCCGATCTGACTGGATGACGCGCAGCAAATACGGCATCAGCTCGTCGACGAACGGGGCGAAATCCTTCCCCAGCGCCGTCCCCCTGGAAAACAAGGTTAAAATTAGGTTGTTTCGCATTATCTGGGGGCGGTGAGGTGAGGTGACTTCGAGTTTTTCTACGAGGGCGATCTCCCCTATTTTAAACGACTACCAGGGTTGGTTTGCCGTTGTCTTGGATTTGCCTCATTGCAAATTTTGTGTTCTTCTTCTAGGATCTACCTTCCCAAAATGGATAGACATCCTAACTACGGCACACCTCATCTGAGGGTCCGACATTCTGCAGCAAAGCCGCCACGGGAGACCGCAAGGATGGGTAAGCAAAACTCAAGCAGGTACGCTTCTCATCACCGACTTCCGCATCACAGACTATTCAAACCAGCGTCGCCCAACCCGAAATCGTCTTTTTCCGGGTGGTAAAACAATGGACCTTCAGCTGTATCTCTAGAGGAATCAAGGCTGTAACAATTGTTGAGGCTTATATGCGGCTCATATCAATGTATTTTCCAGCGAGTTTATTAGAAATAACAATTTATTAACAAGAAAAATTGACAACAAAAATTACAGCATAGAGGCTACCAACTTGGCTTGTTCCTGGGGCGCTTGAAGACCGGCTTTCCTGAAAAAGAAAATTTATTATGGCCATGGCACCCTCACTCACTCCGCTAGAAGCGGTGAAGTGCCCAAAGATTTTACTATTGTCGCGCGGCACCGAAGCTAGAAAATAAATCAGTTATACCGAGGCTTTCTTCGACGATGTCGTTGCTGGTGATGGGTGCCCTGCGGTGGTTGACCTTGACGAAGCCGCGCTTGTAGACGAGCTCGTGGACGGTCTTGGGGGAAGGACAACGGGGGGTCGGGGCAACGGACGGACGACGGGCTGCAGCTCGAGGTGACTGTAGTCCCAGGCGAGCGAACGAGTGGATGACCCGCTCTCGGAGGGGGTATTTGCCCCGGACATACCTGAAAAAAATTCATATTCCAGCGCGAGAATTGAGAGCGTGCAATGAATGAATTAACGAACGAAGTTCGAGACAAGAAATTACGAAGTGCAAATTATCAAAAGAGAGGAGAGGAGGAGCAAAAGAGGAGGCTATCTCAACACTGACTATTTTGGTTTACTGTCTAAATTTAAGGGGAAAATTGTCGTGTCTGGTCACTAAACCGATTTTGGATTTTTATATGTCAAGATGCTCAGCAGGTCGAGCTGATTCAGGATCAATTGAAAAAACTTTTCGGAAACGCTTCTGTCTCGAGATATGACACTTCAAATTTGGCTACTGAAGTATCCGGTCACTAAGCGAAAATCGGAGTTTGTTATGTCCAAATGCTCAGTAAGTTGAGCTGATCCAGGATCAGTTAAAAAAACTTTTCGGAAAAATCTCTATCGAGAGATATGTAGCTTACAAGCAAAACAGGCCGAGACGTAGTACGCAATACACCTATATACGCCAACTGTAAATCGGAAAGAACGGAATGGTAGGCAATTGCTGTTTTTTGGGTAAAAAACATTGTCAGGCAAGGTGGGCCGTCGCTTCGGATGGCACGAAGCCTTATTTTTGGGCTCAAACTTGGTGTGGTGAGTAAAGTTAAGCTCTTATCGAGCACTTATCCATCTATTTCCGCACTGAAAACGGACTTCTAGGGGCGAGAACAACTGAATAGTACCAAAATTTGTTCCGGGGCCTATACGGATAATTAATAGAATAATAATAGAAGAAAAGTGGGCGTGTCGAAATGGCGGCACCTGGGTGGCGGGATGGTCCCATCACGACCTGTTACGGTCGCGGGACAACTTCTAAGAGTTCAAGGCTCCCCCACCCCCGACACGCCCAGAATTAGCGGCAATAAGGGCCAAAGCAACGCGACGCTCCATTCGTCAAGAAAATGTATGGGGGCCAAACTTTACAGCCTTATAGCTTTAAAACTAAAGGGAATCTTTAAAAAAAGCGATTTTGAACTTTGTAGAATGGGACACGGCGATTCCAATAATACCAAGCACTAAGAAAACTGAATTCAAAAAAGTATCGAAACGAAGGCGGTTTTGGTTGGCGACGTTGTGAAAAGTGGTATTTCGGAGGGCTAACTTGCTGTCTTTGGTGTCATTCGAACCGTAAAGTTCTACTTTGCAATAATTGATATTGGGTTTTCAATATTAAGTCGGTTTGAAAAAGTTATAAGAGCTTAAACTTTTTGAAGCGCGCTACGCCCGGCTCCTATCGACGCTTTTGCCCCTCCCGGCACATTGCCGTTTTTGGCCTGTTTGATTGGCCGTGCCGAAGTTCACCGGGGCCGCAAGACCGCTTTTCTTTTATTACATATTTGGCGCTCTGATTGGTGAGGGCAGCTATGCGCAGTAAAGGTTGGCTTTTTACCCAAATTTTAACCATGATTTAGGAAACGTCTACAAGAAAACCCTACAACGAGGCGCCGTCAAAAATATTCAAGGGTATTTGCCCGATACTTGAGTTTTAATAGAGTTTTAGAGCAAAGATTGCGCAAGATACCGAATGGATTCGAGCACGTGCAAACCGAGCGCGAAATACTGTCACGGTTGAATCACCGGAATTGTATCCAGATGTATCAGGTTTGTATTTACTACGAGGATAATAATTTTTTTAGTTTTTTCGAATCGAAGAGAAGGAAAAGATGTATATGGTGTTAGAATATTGCGTGGCGTCACTGCAAGAGGTAGGGAAATTGGATAGAATTTTAGTTACTTTTCCTAGGTCGTCGAAAACTTTGAAAACGGGCGATTGCCGGAAAACTGGGCTCAATTCTTCTTCCGGCAGCTCATCACCGGGTATTTTTTCTTATGAAAATCGGTGCTTTTGCAATAGCGGGGGGGGGCGACTTTCTTCTATAAGTCCAGAATGCCTAGTAATGTAATAGTGAGTATTTTAATAGTATTTTCGTCATACTTAACAATTTTAAGTGATAAAACCTTTAAAAAAACTTTGAACAATTTTTTACTTGAAATTTTGGTCGCAAAATCTAGATTTTTTTAATATTTTGAAGAAATTTTGTAAAGTTTTTACGTTTAGGAATATTAAAAAACAGTTTCGAAAAACTTCCTCTATTTATATGCGAAAAAAACGGTTGTCCCGCCCACCGATAATGCAAAAGCGCCTGAAAATCATCGATTTAGCCTCGAATACCTACCCTCGAAGGGCGTCATTCACAAGGATATCAAGCCGGCGAACTTGCTAATCTCGGCCGACGGCACGCTGAAGATTACCGATTTCGGGGTCGCTGAGCAATTGTCGCCATTTCAGGTAAAGTTTTTTGCGTATTAAAATGTACTTCCTTTAGAACGACGACGTTTGCACGGTTGCGCGCGGCACGCCAAAGTTTCAGCCACCGGAAGTGGTCTCCGGGCTCAATGCGGTTTTCAAGTTTGTTTGATAGTTTAAAAAATAATAAACGCTTTTTAGCGGGTATCCAATCGACATCTGGTCGGCGGGCGTGACGTTGTACAATCTTGTGACGGGCGCGTATCCTTTTGAAGGTAATCTTCGGAAATTCTTCTGTTATTTAGTATTTTCCCGGGTTTTTTCCAAAAAACGATTTTTATGTTTGAATGGAATTGTTTAATTAATTTACTCTAACTACATGAAGCTTTTGAACTGTGTTTTATTATTTCTGAACTTAAGACCTTGACAAATTACATAAAAAATTAAAAAATATCGATTTTCGACGAAAAATGGCTTTTTCGAACAAAATTTCGAAATTTTCTAACTTTTTAGATGGTTTTTGCACTTTATGGATGGTAATTCTATTAAAACTGTATTAAAGCACTTACAACGATGTTTTAGACATTTCTGGAATTACAAAAAGATTATCCTACCTGTAACGCGAAAGCGCCGTTTACTAAATAACTCATTACTACGTCTTTTGAAGTGTTTTTATGGTGTTTTTAGAATTTTTGATTACTAAGAGGTCTTCAAAGCCTTTTTCCAACATTTTTGAGCATTTTCGTGTATTTTCTTGACTTCAAAAAGGCGTTTTTGAGGCGTATCTTTTCGTATTGGGACCCTGCGTCCCGAGAGATTAAAGTTAGCTCCCCCGCTAAGAGTACAATACCCGAATTTTCACCTCTATCCACCAATTTCCAGGCGAACTCATCATGCGGCTATTTGAGAACATTGCCGAACAGCCCTACCTACAGCCAACCATCGAATTGAGTTCAGAACTGAAAACGTAAAGCCTTTCCCTTGATTTCAATACACTTTAGGTTAATCGACGGGCTTTTGATCAAGGACCCTGCGCGGAGACTCGGGTTGCAACAAATTTTCAAGGATTCCTGGGTGCTGCTCGATTTCCGGCCCGCGAGCAATTAGTTAGCTACGATCTCGCGAAGTCGATTGGAAAACAAATTTATTTTTTATTTATTTATGTTTGTGATATTTATTACTGTGTGATGATTTTTTGGATAAATTAAAGCGGCATAGTTATCGAGTTCTTTGGGAGCCCTTGGAGCTCGCGAAATCGATTGGAAACGAATTCTTTATCGATTTATTGATATTTATTACTGGGTGTTCAATAAATTAAAAACGGGAATAGTTGTATAGGTTCTTTGGCATTATCGGGGGGAAGGGTTTTAATATAAATCGCGGAAATGTTTTTAAACTTATTTTCACTATTCCTAAACGTAAAACTTTAGAAAATTTACTAAAATATGAAAATCTGGGTACTTAGACCAAAATTTCGGGGTTTAAAAATCATTTTAGGTTTCTGGACAGTTTTTCCGCCTGAAATCTAATTAAATTTTACTAAAAATAGTATTAAAACACTAACTATTACATTTTAGGCATTTCTGAACTTCTAGGAAACCCCCCGATAATGCACAAGAACCGGGCGGATAGGGATAAAATTCTCTGGAAGCACCGGGGGATTGCACAGTGTGGATTGCGGGGGTAAGGCGACCGGACCTTACCAACGAAAAATAGGGTAGAATTGTTGAATTATTATCGTTTAGAGTTTTAGAGTTTAGCCCCCGTTTTGGGCGGCTTTCTCCTTGTCCTTCTGGCGCTGCTCCTCCGCCAGCTCCTCCCATTTCATCGCGTTATACCTGTAAAAAAAAGTACGTTTTACTAGCATAAAAGTAATATTAATTTTGATAATAACAAAAATAGCTATTTCTAAATCTAAATTCTCCAATTGAATAAACCATTCATATATAATTCATTTAGATAATTATCAATATATAATTCATTTAGATAATTCATTTAGATAATTATCAATTATCAATTTCAATCCTACTATATATAAAAAAATAGTGTTTGTGTGTGTGTGTGTGTGTGTGTGTGTGTGTGCATTTGCATGCAACTTCCGTCCGTATGTTCCAGTCGTATCTCAATAGGAGAGGAAGTTAAGGGTACGTATGATACGTCATTAGATGCGTAATGGTCATGACACGACTGCACGCATATGAGATTTTTAAAAATCAGCTGTTTTCGATATTAAAATTAAGTTTTTGTAAAAATCTCGCTCGACCTCTTTGTTAGGAATCAATTAGCATGCACCGGAGGTGGGGGAAGCCTATATAAAGGGGTAGAGGACGCGCTTTTCATTTTTTGCACAGAAATTCAGGAGTTTATGCAAAGTGATGAAGCATGGGGGTAAGACGGGGCCAGGGTTGAAAAGTCGCGAAGCGGCTTTTCAACCCTGGTATTTCTTAATTTTCTAATTTTTTTAGGCTTACTCGCAGCGCTGCTTCAGCGTCTCGCTCTTTGGCAGAACCTTGGCGATCAGGTCGTAGCACGGGGCGCAGATGCCGCGCATGAAGCCCACCTAGAATCTTTGGCATTATCGGGGGGGGGGACTATTTTTTCCTTATAGGTGTTGTAATAGTGTTTTTAGTAAAATTTAACTAGATTTCTGGTCGAAGAACTATCCAACAACTAAAAATTTGGAATTTTGTCGAAAATCGATTTTTTGTGTATTTTTTTACAATGGTTCCTCCTCCCCGGATAGTGCAAAAGTATCCAGTTTTATTTGTTTTTATTAATGAGCCCAAAACGAGCTTTTCTAAACAAAAATCCAGCTAGTTTCTCGGTACTGTTCTATTATCGGGGGGACTATAGTTGTTGTTTCATTTTCAATCAACGTTTCTATTAATGTTACGTATTAATTTAGCACCTACTCTTTTTTAGCATAAGGATAAAAGAGAAAAAGCTGAAAAATCAAAAAATTCAACAAAAAACAATTTTTGGTTGTAAAATGCAAAATTTTGGGTATTTTAAATTTTTAGGTTATAAAACTTAGGAAGAAACTATATAAAACTATAGGAATTCGTTATTATTGAGCTCAGGAAGCCGACCTGCATCTGTGGCAATTCATGCGCCTTATTCCGGTCCATCATCGGGATCGGCGACTTCCCATTGACCCGCTCGGCGTCGCCCTGAATTCAGTTTTTCTTTGTTTTTCAGGCATCTTTGTAGCGACACAACATCACCATCATGTTGATCATTACCTGCTCGTAGAACTCCTCGAAGATGACCTTGACCGTCTCCGTCTGGATCTGCCACGGCTTTGCACTGGCGATCAGGTCACAGCCGGTCATGAGAACGGCTTGAGTCAGTCGTCGATGCTCTGGGTCGGCCACGTTGTAGCTGCCCGCCTCGAATGGCTAGAATACCCTTGAATGAAAGTTATTTCCCCTTCTTAGATACTAAAAAAAACATCTAAGAAACGTGTAATGGCTAGAATACCCTTGAAAGAAAGTTATTTCCCCTCCTTTAATACTAAAAAAACAATAAAAACCGTTGCGAAACAATTATTCTTTTGTTTGGGGGTTTCTGCTACCATTAATGCGCGAACGGCCCCTGTGACCTCTGGCCCCTCCCCCTCTCCCCGGGGCATGCCCTGGGGGCACGTTGGATTCCTGGACGGGCGTACAGACATTAGAGATTTATATATAGTAGATGAAATTTTATATGGAGAAATTTCGTCAATTTCGAATTTTAGAAAAACTTATGGCACAAACCTCAAAAAAACCGTTTGTAGAATACCTACGGGCTTGACATAATCGCATAAACATATTAAAAAAAATTTTCGAGTTTGATGATTTTTCGAGTTTTTCAACGACCACCTGGTCATGGATTTTTCGAGGTCCCGAAATCGAACTTTGGAAAAAAATTTCTAAATTGCCAAAGGGGACTCAGCTGTTTTCTTTGCTTAGCTATGTAGTTCTGGGGTTGTTCTAACATTTACAACATTTAGAGCTACCGTACCCCTTTGGAAGGGCGACTTTTAGGGCTTCCAAAACGGTTGGTTCGTGCTTTTTTTCCGAATCTTACCACCATTTTATAAAATTTAGTCGCGCTGTGAAAATTATCATTTTAGTTTTAAATAATACTAGTTAAATAGCGCATCCTAAAGCCTCATTCATGAATTTTTTTAACCAGCCGTTGGCGCCAAGAAAATTCATCAAAACCGGAAATAAACCGATTTGGAGGTTGCGTAAAAAATTTTTTGGAAGGTGGAGTCGTAGGGATATTTTGAGCAATAAGCCAGTGCCATAAGTTAAATAAAACTATGCAAAGAATAAAGCAATTTCACGTCGCAAAAATTTTAAGAAGATTTCTAAACTTCGATTTTGGAACAGGGTGATCTTCGATTTTGAGCTGAAAGTCACCATGATCATGAATCAGATTGCCCCCAAATTTTACGGGCGTAATTAATAACATCAAATCTATAATCGTATCCAGAAGACCCAGCTGGCTTTTTTTATTTAAAAAAAACATAAGACTCAGCTGGTTTTTTATTTTGGTATGCTAAAACGCGCTCCACGGGGGTTACTGTAGAAAACCAAAATTTGCGATTTTCGCTGTGTTTTTGCCATCGAATCGCGTCGATCTTTCGGTAAAAGCAATAGTAACAGTTTTTGGTACAACTGACCAAAAAATTTACAAAATTCTGCCGCAGAATTAAAAAAATCTGTTTTTAGTATTTTTCATGAAAGTTTGTGGATAGTACGCTCTCGTATTTGGCAGTGAGGTGCCCCAACTTATTGTCTAACAACTCTGAAAATTTCAGCCGGATCGAATCTAGGGGAGCCGAGAAAAGCGGGAAAAACGAAACCTACAGTACCCCACTGGGGCACGTTTTAGCAAGCAATACAAAAATACCATAGATTTTGGTAGAATCTGGTGTGGGATCCGAGATTAATATTTGGATAAGCCCTGGGCAAAAAAACCGCCATGGGCCGTCAGTTAGAAGCGAGTTACGGCTCAATGAACAAAAATAACGCAAAATCGCGAAAATCGATTTGCCTTTGAAAAATGAAATAAACCTAGGAAAATTCTAAGATTTTGCCATTGCGTTTCAATAAATTAAAGCCATTTATGAGCCGAAAATTAGAATTTTCCCACCGCCCGTTCAAGAACGCACAATTTTCGGTCGTAACCAGCGTCAATAGTACAGTTTCATACTCAAAAATCGAAAAAATCAAGTTGTGATCTTCATACCCAGCATATTTAAGCATTCTGGCATGGTAACATACCTTCGATTCTCTACCGTTCGCGAGTTATTTTGACCCAAACTGTCGGCTTTTTTTTTGCACACCCTGTATATCCCTAGGTGCTGTTTGCTAGGTCAAATCCGGGAATTATATGGATCTTTCGACGCTTTTCCTAGAAATTTTTCTGGCATGGCGGCAGTTATTTATTATTACTATGATCAAGAGGAGGTACGGGGTTTTTTTACGCGCTTCAACATCTCATTTCGGTTGTTCGGTCCGCCTTTTTATCATCCTAGGCCAATCAATCAAGGCGATTTTTGTACGGTGTCAATCTGGGGCGTACTGTACCCATACGTATACGATAGACGGTTCTGTCATGGGGGTGTTTCGATGTTGAACACGTAAAATAATCTCCATTCAAAAAGACTTTATCGCGGAAAAAATAGTAACAATTTCACTACCATGGCCCAAAATTATTTGCGGTGAACGTGAAAACCGGCTCGTCGCCTCTCCAAATGTTCGTTTTCGTACCCCAATGCTGTCCAAACTTGGGCCGCAAGGTTTCAGCGCAGAATTCCTCCGGTTTCACGTCAAATCCCTGCGCCAAAGTATAGATTCGCGTGTTCTGAAAAATGATTCTTCACTTCCGTTCTGATAAGACCTCCTTGTCAATTGTTAGAGCGATGCACAAAGGCCTACCATCTTCGGGGGTGCTGAGGAATTGTCGAAAAGCATCG